TTTTACTTGGTTCCTTATTGTGCTTTTCGGTACCTCGAAGGCAGGTTCTGGGCCTGTTTTTGGTGTGAATGATCCTTTCCTTGCTAACTCATCCGGCCTTTCGTTTTCTGCGTTACCTGAATGTCCTGGCACCGATATGAGAGTTACTTTGTTGTGTTCCGCCTGTTTGTTGACTTCTTGTTGGCATTCCCAGATCAGTGCAGATGACACTCTAGGACTTCTCTGAGTGACGCCTGACTGTCAGTGTATATATTTACCCTTGCACAGTGCAATATTGCATACACTCCGGCCCGCAATACAGAGCTGTCTTCCAAGCGGTATACTATGCCCAGGATTGCACCTGTTCTCATATACAGGGTGGCCCATCCGTTGGCGGAATAATACTCATAAACAAATACATTTCGAGTTAATCTATTTATGGGATGTTATACTTGACAATTAAGGGTACATTTCTAAAATAGTGACCATTATACGGGGTGTGACAGTTTCGACCCAAATATTAAAGTTATGATTTTTCAAATGGAATGCCTCAAATTTTATTACATATTTAGATAGACCGATTCAAAAGACGAAAATTGATATAACATGCTATGAGGTTTTGGTAATTAGCTACTGAGATATAAGGCGTTTTGTTTGGAAAAACCCCCCACTTCGGCAACCCGTCAGTCCGCCATTTTGAAATTTGGTGTGCTGAATTTTGTATAAGAAGAAATTTAAACACCTCAGCTTTTATCTTATTTGTTACGTTCTCGAATTTTGAGTTCTGCTCATACAGGGTGGTCAAAACGCAAATTGTAGTTTTACTCAAAAATTTCAAATGCATCACCCTGTATATTTGTGCAAGTTTGGATTCAATTTTTTATAAGCTTTTTGATACTAGACATAAGGGTTTTTTTTTGGTTATTAGCAAGTCTTTTATGGAACGGATTAGTTCCCTAAAGTATCGCTTCATCCTTGGAAACACAACATATAGTAAATTGTTGAGTAGTTACAAACTGTCAAAATTAGCTTTGTGAGCATTATAATAAAAACGTGTTTGACAATAAATTTTTCTAAGAAGAAATGGTAAATATGGTGTTCGTTTTGGGCGAAGCCCAAAGAAAAAGTTTAGTAGCATCTCGCATTTATAAGCAACGGTACTCTAATATGCGACATCCTAGGCCGGAAACATTTTACACTTTACGAGAACATTTTGAATCAAGTGGAGCAGTGGAATCAGTTGGAGGTTCTATTAAAGTTGCAGTTGCATTTAAGTACACGGCAAATTGGAGCAGAAACTGATATATGCAGAACTTCTGTCCAAAGGATTACTCACAAACATAGGTACCATCCATATCACCTATGCTTGCATCAAGGCCTTCGTCCTTAGGATTTCGCAGCTCGAATGGAGTTTGGTAGAATAATGCTTAATACAGTGAGTGAAGACACTACCTTCCTGGATAAGGTTCTTTTTAGCATACAGGGTTTGTCCGGAAAGTAATAGGACTGAGTCGATTAAAAAAAACTTATTGAGCCAATCGTTACAATTCTTTAAAAACTTTCAAAATAGGCTCCTTCTGCGTCGATGCAGCGCTGCCAGCGCGATTTTCAAGCATTGAAGGCGTCACGGAAGGCATTCTCCGGAATAGCCTTGAGGGCCGCGGTGCATGCTGCTTGGATCCCCTCTGTCGTCCCAAAATGCTTGCCTTTCATCGGTCTTTTCAGGCGAGGAAACAAAAAAAGTCCGGGCGGCCACATCTGGGCTGTAGGGCGGCTGCGGGAGCGGTGGGATGCCGGCCTTGATCAGGTAGCTGTTCACAAGAAAGTCGGTGTGAGCCGGGGCGTTGTCGTGATGCAACTTCCAGTCAGCAGCGATGTCTTGTCGTACCCGACTGACCCTTCGTTTGAGTTTCCTGAGCACTTCCACGTAAAACTTGGCGTTGACGGTTTGTCCAGGAGAAACAAATTCATGGTGGACGATGCCTTTGATGTCAAAAAAGACAATGAGTATCGTTTTCACTTAGGATTTCCTCATTCTTCCCTTTTTTGGGCGAGGAGACGCCGTCGTGTGCCACTCGGAAGATTGCCTCTTTGTCTCGGGATCATACTCAAAGATCGACGACTCGTCACCTGTGATTATGTTATTCAAAAATTGGGGTCACTTTCACACATGTTCAAATTTTCTTGGCACACTTCCACTCGCCGCAATTTCTGGTCGTCAATGAGCACTTTTGGGACCATCTTCGCGCACACCTTGCGCATGTTCAAATGCTGTATCACAATGTCATGAACCACAGATTTTGGTAAATTTAACACCTGGGCAATGAAGCGAACGCTTATTCGACGGTCTGAGTTCCAAACTTTGCGCACACGAGTCACATTGTCGGTATTTGTCGAAGTCGAAGGTCTTCCAGCACGGTCTTCATCAGCGACCTCTTCCCGGCACTCCAAAAAGGCCTGGTGCCACCGAAACACACCACTTCTTGCTAAAGCAACACCTGGGTAAACCTGCTTGATCATATCAAACGGCTCTGTCGAATATTTACCGGGTTTCACACAGAATTTAATCGCGTACCTCTGCTCTAACGAACGCTGCATTTTCGGCTTGCACCACTCACAGAAACACGTCGCGCGAAAATGCCTGTCCTGACTCTCCAAGTGCTTGGAGACAACTGACCAGCCGCTCATTCGTTAGCTAGGAACGCCCTCTACCGAATCCAGTCGGTGCGCGCATGCTCCGAAGTACAGTCATGGCGGAAGAAAATGAGACCTATTACTTTACGGACAAACCCTGTAGGTGTTGTCAATAGGCGCAACATGCATTATAAAGTGATGAAAAACCCTTACTGGGTTAGGAAAATAGATTTCCAAAATAAATGGAGCTTGAATGTTTGAGGATGAGTTATTGGCAGACAAGTTATCGGGCCTTTCTTTTTCGACAACAGATTAAAAGGTACAGGAGGATGTAAACCTGCAAACTCGGATGCATATGTACTTCCAATATGACGGCGCACCTGCTCATTATCATAATCGTGTGCGTAACTATTTGGATGCCTGGAGTAACAATCGTTGGACCGGTCTTGACGGGCCTATATCTTGGCCTCTTGGATCACCAGACATGACACCGATGGACTTCTTTCTATGGAGCTACGTTAAGCAAGAGGTTCATAGATATCCACCATCTACCCCAGAAAACATGAAGGAAAGGAGTAAGGTAGCTTTTATGAACATAAGGGAAAACATGCTGAGGGATGTGCAACGGTCATTTATCCAAACACCAGGGCTGTGCATTCATCATGATGGAGATATTTTCGAGCAGTTTTTCTAGATTAGGTCTTGGGTAGTGAAAGTTGTTTTCTTTATGTTGTTGTTATAGTTGTTTTATTACGCTTGAAGCTGATTTATACTGTTCTGATTGTTATTAGTTTTTACATCATATTTGTACTCTTAGTGGCAATATGGAACTAGCTCACTGTTTGTCTTTTGTTTCCATGGATGATGTGATTTTTTTCCTTAATTTTGGTGTGTTCTTCCATTAAAAGCTTAATAACTCAAAATCTAGTGATCTTATCTGAATCAAACGTTGTACAAAAAAAAGCCTACAAAAATTGAATCCAAGCTTGCATTTGAAATTTTTGAGAAAAGATTTTATTCGAGTTTTTGACGTCCCTGTATAAGTAAAAATGAAAATTCGAAAAAGTAACGAGTAAGATAAAAGCTGAGGTGTGTAAGTTCTCTTTATACAAAATTCAGCACTCCAACTTTCAAAATGGCGGACTGAGGGATTGCCGAAGTGGACGGTTTTTCTGGACAAAACACCTTACATCTCAGTAGCCAATTACCAAAACTCCGTAGTATGTTATATCAATCTCATTCTTTTGAATTGGTTTATCCAAATATGCAATAAAATTTGAGGTATTCCTTTTAAAAAATCACAACTTGGACATGTAGGTCAAAATTGGGACACTGTATAATAGAAAATATTTTAGAAATGTGCCCTAAAATGTCATGTATAACATGTCATAAATAGATTTTCCCAAAACGTATTTGTTTATGGGTAATTTTCCGTCCACGCATGGATGGGCCACCCTGTATACATGCACCTGTTCCCTGCTCAGTTTTTGACGTGTCAGTGTACCAGGTAACTTTCCTTTCTAGGTTGTGTCTTTGGTGTTTCGTTCGATCTCCTATTATGCTCTCGAAGTTCTTTTTGAATACAAATCTGGGAACTATGTGGTCTCTCCTCGCATCGAGTATGTCACTTCCCATGTGTTTCCTTACTTGATCATGTCCAAGATTCTCATATCTTCCCTTTGGATGTAACTGTGGCATCCCTCATCATTACGTATTGTATGGCTGGGCGGTCCAGCATGGTATCAAGTGGAGGGCACCTGTTATCGACAGGCAAGCAAGTATAACCTAAAAAACCTTCCATCAAATATTTAAGTGGATGATTTTATCGTTACAGGACCTCCAACAAATCGGAACAATGGACTGAGTTATCCAATTAGGGAAATTGATAGATCCAAACAGTCTGCTTCGACCAGAGTGTCAGATTGAAAAAGCGCTACCCGACTTTGTTTATGAATATTGGGATTTCTTGTATATAGTCAGTTACTGGCCTTTAAGAACATTTTGGTATACTTTCGATGAATGACAACATTCCTTCAGACAAACCCACCCAAACAAGGGGTTTCAGAACAAGCCACCCTACTGCTTGTCGGACACACTCGGTCTGAGGACAAAATGCATTATTCAATTACATGGAAACAGTTCCCTTTGCTAACCAAGACCCTCGGACGTTAACAATACCCCATTTTGACATCTAGTGTGCAATATATCCCTTTAATATAACAAGGGTCGGACTATATATTCAGGTCCAGAGATATTTTCGCTGATATCGTAATTCCCACGTGTTGCACCAGGCAACTTATATGGGTTTAAAGGAATTTAATGAAGGACGACACCGAAGTGTCTCCGGCATGTTTTAGACAAATGGTGATCCTTGAAGGAGGTTTACGTATTGAATTGTAATGGTCAGGTCGAGTGTCTTCAACACCTCTTCAAGAAATTTGGCTGTTACAAGTTTAACGTATGTACCTGCGTAAAAAAGTTTTGCATATGGAAATAAAACAACACGGTAGATGGTTTTAAATGACTTTATTGTTTTTCGAAGTATTCTCCACGAAGATTAGTACACATATGCAAGCGCTCGAACCAATTTTCGAAGCACTTATTCCACTTGTTTGCTGGCAGATCCAAAACGGCATTTTTGAATGCGTCAACTGCTTCTTCCGGTGACTGGAACCTTTGACCACGCAGTCTGTTTTTAATTTTCGGGAAAGTAAAGAAATCGTTAGGACTTAGATCGGGACTATATGGAGGATGGTCCAATAATTCTACGTTTTCTTCCGTTAAATACTGCCTTGTTTTTTGGGCTGTGTGCGAGCTTGCATTGTCTTGGTGGAGGATGATTCTTCTATCGGGGATGATTTTTCGAAGCTCGGTGATGACTTAAGCAAAAAAATGGTGGTATACCAATCCGCAGTAACAGTTCATTGCTCATGAAGAGGAATTGTTGCAATATGACCCGCTTTTGACACAAATGTCGCGACCATCTTTTTCGAAACACTTCGAGAACGGATGGCTTTTGTTGGCTTTTCTTCACCTTGGAACACCCAAACAGCCGACTGTCAGTTATTTTCTGGTTCATAACAGTAAATCCACGATTCTTCACCACTAAAAATGCTGTACACATTTTTTGAGTTTCTGGATTTGAAACGGTCAAGCGTTTTTTGACACCAATTAACCCTGGCTGCTTTCTGCTCTTCAGGCAACAGGTGGGGTATCCAAGGGGAAACTAATTTTCTTACTCCTAATTCTACATGTAAAATTTTTTGAATTGAGGTCTTTGAGATCTTCAAGGATGCCTCAATCTCGCGATCTGTCACATATCTATCTTCAATGATGAGTTTGCGCACAGCATCGACGTTTTCCTGGGTGACTGCCGTTTGCCGTTTTTGGTGCACCCACCCTGGGATCGTCGCTAAGGCTCACCCGTCCACGTTTGAATTCTCCGTACCAACTGGAAATTGTCGACTGATGTGGCGCTTCGTTGCCGAAAATAGACAGTAACTGAGCAAGGCATTCTTGTTGCGATAATTGCCTCTGAAAATTGTAATAAATTATGGCGCGAAAATGTTCTCGGTTGAGTTTCATTTTTCTAATGACTTGGTGACACTTAACAATTCACTGTACTATTCACTGCACGTATTGTTGTGAAACTTTGAATTTAAGTTTACTAAAGAGTGAGGTTAATATTCAGTACTGACGTTCGATCCACTCGGCCTACTATGTTTCTATATGCAAAACTTAAAAGACATCCCTCGTATAGATAAAGTGATTGCCAACAGATTAGTGTCCAAAACTAACCGCCTTTGTATTGCTTTTAAAGCATATTATCTTATGCATTCTTTCTATAGGCGAGTCTTCAGTTGTTTGGGTATTCTGGTTCCAGTCATCATTTGACATCATTCATAACCATTTCAGCTTCAGGCTAGTTGCTGAAAAGAATTTCATGTAAGTTTTCCTCCTCAAAATATCAAAATCGCTCACGCATAAATTCAGGGATAATAATGATCCCTAGTATCAGTCCAGTATACATATAGTCCAGCGAATGTAACCAGATCATTGGGAATGCTATAGATTATGCCATTAGCAACAGGGTACGTGCTACCAATATTAGTTCTAAAGATCAGCTGATTTGAAAGTATCCCAGTATGAATGTTTCATAGCGAATACACGATTACTCACATATTTTCAAAAGTAGTCTCATAGTCGGATGTTTTAAACATTTTTCTATTAAATATTAGGTGAGACAATAGTACAAGCAATACTGGTATTTAGTGTATCAACACAAGCATGATAGATAATTAAAATAGTCGTAAATATTGCTTCCAATGAGCAGAAACTACCATACTACAGTAATAGGTCCTCCGTATGAACGAGGGTATTTAAGTATCTTGCGATACTTAAGACCACTCCTCCTCAGTTCCAACGATATCGTACTCTTAAAGATCTGTATTGACGAGTCAGTCTCCTTGTTGACATTCCAACCTAATTTTTTGCTCTTCTAATCAATCTCTCTGACGTCTGTGCAGAAAATGCACGAGGTCTTCCACTTTTTGAGGGACTCAGACATGGTATTCCCTGCTCGCACTCCGGTATTGTTCGATAAATGGTTCTGCGTGAAATGTTTTCATTCTGGAATATTCGATAGATTTCAGCTTTGGGTATCCGCCCAACCAACTTGCACATACTGTTACTTATTTCTAGTTTATACGACATATTAAAGCGAAAGCTTCATAAGTGTCGACTGACAGTAAAGTAAGTAATCAAACTTTTGTTTCCAAGGGCAACTTGATATTATTTTGTGTCTGACTTGAGTTTCATACTTTATCCGAAGTAACTAATCAATTGATATCCTTAGTTCGGTCCTGCATCTTGTTATTACAACCTGTAACACGTTATGTCTCAAGGTTTTTCTATGTACAGCACATTATGGGGGCAAATGACCCCATGCTTATTTGTAAAAGTACAAAAAAATAAAAATAGAGTTCGAAAAATGAATATTTCCAGAAAAACCTGCTTAAGCTGTACAACACATGTGACAGATTTTTACAATAAAAATCTTGGTCTGACCGAGTGACCAACGACATTATGCCATATCCTTTATTGTACTGTCTCATTTGCAATGATCCATTTCTCGCGATTTCAGTCGCCCTGTATACCGAGAGAAACCTCCAAAATTTATGCGAGATTGATGAACGCAGAAGTTAGCTCCGAACACATAACAGCCGAGTTATGGTACTTAACAGCTTATAAATTGGATTTTGAGTTTCGGTCGGCTCCAGGGAAAAGAGAACAATGGGGTAGCTCTCTCGGTTTGATTAAGGGCCCAAAATAATTACTAGCCGACACCTAGCAGCAGTTGTGATGACTTCATATAACTTTCAGCATGTTAGTTCGGGAGGAGTGATGGGGTACATTGTATAACATCCGGCCTCGACGAAGGTTCCCGAACTAACTCCGCCAGCTTTTATTGATGATAGACAACGGAAAGGACAAGATCTCCCAGAAAGTAGCCTTTGAATGTGCAGCCTTTTGACCGTAACCTAATGAGCTTTTGGATCATGTTACTTTTGGCGGGTTGACGGCTCACCTTAACGAAATATATGATTATTTGTATACCACTGAACGATAAAGTGTGCTAAAGTGTTTTGGCGGGTGCAAATGTCTAATGTTCTTCATGATAGCTCAAGACGGCGCCGTATGGCTTAGATGAGTCGAAACCTAGTGCGTGTAAACGATAAAACAAGCAGATATTCAGGTGAAATGTGTAGGGTTTTGTAGAAAAACATTCCATCTAGGGGGTGTGAGTATCAAAGATAGTGATATCCGTGTACCACCCACAAAAGGAGAGGGCTTTCGTTGGACCTACCGTTGTTGTCGGGAGCTGATCAGTGACGGTGAGTCAACGCTATGTAAGTTGATAAGTCTATTAGGTGAGAACATGATGAACAGCGACATGATAAATATGCAGAACGCAAAAATTGAACAATTAGTAACAAAGATAACTAATATAGAGGAACAATTACAAATAAACAAACCAGTTTACCCCACCTATGCAACAGTTTTGGCAGCGTCAGCAGTGTCAGTAGAATCTCATGTACTAACGAGAGTTCTTACTTCAGTAGAAAAAGAACATCTAGCACAATTTGTAGCCAACTCACAGATGTCAGCAGCGATAAGTTCAGCCAAGCAGGTATCAAAACAAACAACAACGAATAGACAAACGTCTGCAAAAAACCAGAGTACTCCAACTTGCACAAAAGTCAGGAAACAAACAACCAGAGTTCCTTAAACCCGGGCGTAAAAATGAACAGCAGAGTAAACCAGTCACAATAATAGGAACGGCTGACCCGAACAGTTCTAAATTTTCTGCAGTGTACATTATTAAGCGAACATGGATACATGCAGGAAATTTTCATAATGACTTAACCGCGGATGAGTTGAGGGAGCATTTCAATGAAAAATATGGGAGAGATGACTTCATTTGGTACAAAATTAATCCAAAGCATCGCACACCAACTTTTCGTTCTTTCAAAATCGGAGCTCACCAGTCTCTAAAAGAAGTCCTACTGAATGCAGAATCGTGGAACACAGGTATTGGTGTGTCTGAATTCAACTTTTTTCGAGCCAGCAGAAACAAAACCCAGTTCGAATCAACTCCCACAGCTACAGGGGAAATTTGAAGCATACACGAGCCAGCGCGTAGTAAGTAATAGTGACAGTCATACTCTTAAAGTCATCCATCTAAGCACGCAAGGTACGGGAAACAAAATAAGTCAGCTGGAACTTCTTATACATCGGGAGAGGCCAGAATGAACAGATTCGTGTAACCGGCATCGCAAATATAAATATTGTGGGCAGCTTCTGTAGACAAGAATCAATAAATACATGGTGGCGTTTCCATATATATGGCCAACCAAATCTGTTATGTAAACCAGTCAATCTGCTTCAAAACGTAGTCAAAGAAAATGTCTGTGAAAGTGCGTGCGTGTGTGTAAAAGTCGGCATTGAAAAAATTGCGGTTTTAGTGTTTTATCGATCTCCTAACAGCAGTGTATATACGTTTTCAAAACTTTTTAACTCTGTGCTAGGTAGCGTGTCTAAAGATTTTAAAAATATCATAGTTGGTGGCGATCTGGACATCGACTGGCTAAGCAACTCGAACAGCAAATTGATTTTGAGTGATATACTCGATAGCTTTAATCTAACATCAGCACTTCCTCCTGAAGAATACACTAGAGAATTCTAAACAGCCAAATCAGCAATGGACTGCATAATCACAACTTTTGATAATGCAAGTGCATGTAACCAGGACTTAAACATATCTGACCTCAAAGTTAAGATAGCTCAGATCAACATAGTTAATACACCGCCTATGCTAAATAAGCCCGTCTATGTTCAAAGACGATTATTCTCCGAAAGTAATTTGCAGAATCGTAGATTATTCCTGTATATGAGAGATATGAGTTCACCTTATTGCATCGAAAACGTCAACGTTGCTTGGGATCATTTTTGGCAAAGTTTCATATATTGCGTAGACAAAGCTTGTCCCTTAACGAAAGCCAAGTTAAACTATACTGACTATAATACTGACGCCAGTATTGTATCTGAAAGCTACTATTTGAAAGACTTATTTTGGTTATCAAAAAACTTAAATAGACTGGAGATAAAAGAGAGGTACAGCAGAAAAAGTATAAGCGTCAAAGCTTCATCTGAAGAAACAAGAATTCTTCCAGAGAAAAATCGATTTTTCTGCCAACCCACTAAAGGAAATATGGAGTATTATAAATAGTAAATAAGGTAAACTGAAAAGGCAGGGAGATTCAGTAAAATTAATCTTGGATAATAGCATAATCAGTGAACCTCAAACAGTCGCAAATATCTTTGGGGATTATTTTGCAAAAATTGCTGAGGATATGCTACTATCCTCATACGATACTTTAGAGAGCTATTGTTCTATATAAAACAATCTGAGATCATTGTTCTTTAACGATATTGTTCCATCAGAGTTACTGTCAGTTTTGAATGACTTCAAAAACAAACCATCGTGCGGCCCAGATGACATACCAATTAAGGTGATAAAGTTTGTGGCTGACTAGCTTATTTATCCACTATGTTATATATTTAACTTTTCTATCACTACAGGAACATTTCCGAATTGCTTGAAGCTAGCATCTATCATTCCTGTCTATAAAAAGGGAGACCGACAGGTACCTGGTAATTATAGGGCAATAACGCTAGTCTGTTGTTTTTCTAAATTATTTGAAGCAATTGTCCACCACAGACTAAACAATTTACTCAATTTTGTCACCAAACCAACACGGGTTTAGGCCTAGACTATCCACAAATACAGCTGCCTTCACACTTTTAAGTTATATCTATGAGTCTGTAGATATGGGGCGATATACCCTGGTTCTCTTCTTCGAGCCTTTGATTGTATTGATCATAACCTTCTCGTTGAAAAGCTCAGACATACTGGATTCAGGTCACCAGTAGATGCATGAATAAAATCTTTTCTATCGAACAGAAAAATAAAAGTAAGAGTGAGTGATACCACGTCAGACAAATTTAAAATAAACTTGGGGGTCCCTC